CCCCCCCCGCACTGCACCAGACAAAAAGCACCTCGCCGCCGGGGCCCCCCCGCGAGTGCCGGGACGGGGGAAGCCGTCGGCAGACAGCAGCAGCAGCCGTCCTGCGGGAATGCGGGGAACAGCCCCGCTCCCGGCTCTGAGGCGCGTCTGCCTGACCTTGCGTGCTTCGTTCCACGGAAGGTGCCGAGACTCCCGGGGGAAGTTTCCGAGTCCCCTTTGTGTTCTAGTCGGCCAAGTTACAGAGCCTCGGCTGCGATGGTTTCTCCCCAGTGCACAAGCGCCGCCTCCTCCTCCACGAGAGAAGCACCGAAGAAGCGCCGATCACGCCTGAACTCTCCCCCAGCCCGCGCAGCATGCATGCCCCTTCCAGAACCCTTCAGCGGAAGCGTCCTCTGCCTGCAAACAATGCTGCTGCGTCACCCACATGCAACTCCCAGCAATGCTTTGCAGCGGAAGATGGCAGGAGAGGAAAAGAGGCCGAGGCAGCGAGCGAGGCAACGTCCAGGAGGGCAGAGCCGTTCTGCTGCAGAGCAGGGAGGGGGGCTGGACCAAGCCGCTCGCTGGCTGCTGATTGGTCAGAATGGCAGCCCAGGCAGACTCCTCTCCCCTCCCCCATCTTCCTGAATCCTTGAAAGCGCCGCCGCATTTGCCCTTGTCTCGCTGTTTCCCTCAGAAGCAATTCCAACTTAATAGCAATGTCGCCTTCTGAACACCCACAATGACATTTCTTACTCTGATCACATGCCCACATCTCCGTCTGAGAGGTGGGAATAGATTCACTTCCGTTGTAATAGCTACTCAGTGTATTTGAAATGTTGATATTAAGATACAGTCTCCAGCAGCCCAGGAAGCTTAATGCTTCATAAATGTAACTCAAGCTAAGCAATAGCTTCTCAATGCTTCAATGTTTCTCATGCTGGAAGTTTCAAAATTCAGTACACTGGTAAGCCTATGAAACCAAGTATCAGACGACAGGGCAAGCAAACAAATATACCAGCCAAACAAGTATCACCAGATGACGTGTTGCGTTACTGGTTAGTTAAGAACTTACTATCCTGTTATAACCCTCTTCTACAAACAAGCAGATAAGCAAGCATCATGCCTATCCTTTGTACTACAATGATAGAACAGCAAAACACTGTCAGCTTCTTTGGACCTTACGGACATTAGCCTCTGATACTAAAGCAATAGTTTCCCTATCTGTGCCAGAGGCTTCTGATAGTACACTCCCCCTCTTTTATTCACACAAGACACAGTTTGCTTGCAAATTAGAACTGGAAACCAGTTTGAACAAGGAAGCAAAGAACAGGGGAGAGAATGTCTAAACCATGATTTGATTTTGTGTGGCTTATCTGAAACATTTTTCACCCACCCCCAAGCAAAAGTTTTGGGGGCAGTTTATGAAGGACTGAGAATAAAAACCAGATGGACAGAGTATGATCGACTATAACATTATTTTTTTAAAAAACTTGTAACATCAAGTTAGCACAACTGATTTATACTTTATTCCACATCTTGATATAAATATGCCATAGAATTCTGATGAATGCTTAGGAGATCACTAGGAAGCAGATGTTCTATATCCAGCTCTGTTTTCAGACTCCAAGGTGGTATTTAGGAATTGGTGGTCAAGTACTACTTTTGCATAAAGCCAGCCACAATGACTGGATGTTGCCATTTGAGTAGCAGCAATAAATATTTCCATGTCTTTTAAGACCCCAGGCCAGTTCAGACACTACTGTAGGGACAGTCAACTTTCTCCCCCTTCAGGAGATGTCAAACGACATGTAGTGAAGCACAAGAGAAGCAAGTGAGAATGCCCAACATCTTTAGAGGTGAGAGCAACTTGTACTGTTGTCATTCATATTCCTCCAAGCTTAATTTCAGTCAGTTTACAATAAAGGAACAATGCTAAAATTTGCCTTTTGAGTCGGTAATTTTTCTTTATCCATTTAGATGAACCCAGCACATCTCACATGACAGCACATATGGTAAGAGGAGCAATGTGAAACAAAGAGATGAAGATTAGCTGTATCAAGCAGTAAATTACCCAAAGTTAATGAAGGAGTAGATATGCTGTTGCCGTCATCTGAATAAGCCATTGCAGAAAATTGTCTATTAATTACTACATCTTCCAATGTAAGTTTTCAGTCAAGCCAACCAAGGAAACCTTTCTAAAGCCAGGTACAAGCAGCCCAGAACTATTTAGAGACTCATAAAGGAGAAGTAATAGTCATATGACCGCATGATCATAATGCAGTTTCATACAGAAGGTTTGGATACACTCTTATTTTCCTCTGCAGAGAACAATACCAGATACAAAGTACTATTAAAATATGCAATAAAGCTGATGACAACCATCTCATATACTGTGAATATAGCAGAGTCATACATTGGATAGCTTTATAAATACTGATGACCACAAATAAGCAAGTGCCATGGGATAGCCATATTAATATGTTACAGCAAACACAAACTAGACTTGCAACACCTGTTTCTGCCCAACACATCTAAATTAACCCCAAATAAAGACAAGCCAAAACCACAAGACACAATCCCTTGGATTGCACTGGACTAAAACACAGCGAACATAAGAAAGTGTCACTGGGCGAGATACATTCACATGGCTATCATATGGCTTTCATACTATAGAAAAATTAAAGGCAACTGTGCCTTTGGGTCATACCTTGATGTCAGCAATCAGGGCATCCTCATCCTCAATGCCAGTAGGTACACACTTCTTGTGCAGAGGCAAAGATTCCAGCTTGTCTACAAGACAGTGCAGACCCTCAAGTTCAAATTGTGTCAGATGTATCTTCTTGCCCTTTTGAGGGCTGTTGCTGTGAGAGTCCCAGGCCTGGCCATTGTGAGAGCCTCGGCTGGACTCAGAGTCCATGGACATAGTTCTCTTTAGACCTGGCAAATTCCGGCAGCTTCTACCTAGCTCCTCATAGTCTAGGTTAGCACCATTAGCCACAGGGCTAGTGAGTATTGACCGTCTGGTGACTGGACGCCTTGAGTCCTTTCCTGCTTCTCCATCATCTTCATCCATGTTTCCAGACTCTGAGCTACATAGCTCCATATCTGACAGTAAAGGGCAGAATAAACAGAGAGATCAAATGTCTGCCTATGTGACAGTTTTAAAAGCAACTGAGATATTTCAGCATTTCTACTATTCACCCAGCAGTAACAGCACAGGGGAAAACACATATGTGTTACAGCACATTGCTGTTAGTGTTGGGGGGAAATTGTGCTATACCAGCTGTGGTCCATTTGCCATTCAACTGCCAAAAGAAGGCAATCTCTATTCAACCAAGACCACTAGAAACCACATCACCATATTATGTGCTTTCTGACACCATCCTGAGAAGAACAGCTGCTTCAAAGTTAGCAGAACACCTCAGTGAAGCAACATTAGCTAGCACATAAAGGACATCTGTGGACTCATAGGACAATCGTTTTGCTAAAATGAGATGGTGCTTTAAAGCAAAGGAGGAAGTGATTCTCCTTATTCTAATGTCAATC